CCAAGTAGATTTTCTTCGTTTGCACCTCTCCACAGGGAGAGGGGGCACTGGGGGCTCGCGGCTGGCTGCGGTTTCCGAGTTTCTAAGTTCCCCCAAGCCCCTGCTGGGAGTGAGTTCCTGTCTTGGGTGTGTCTGGGTGTGCTCAGTCGAAAGGACTTTTTTGAGGGGAGCTGTATGTGCACAATACAGCTAGAGAGTGACCTTGTCCAGGGAGCTGTCTCCCCTTACCAGAATATGCAGGGGATTAAACACCCAATCTTTATCATAAAATGGGGACAGAAAAAGACCGGTTAGGAGCTAGGTGAGGGTGCTGTGGGCAGGTCAGGGGCCTCAGTAAACAGAAATGTTAAACAAGAGCCTCTCCCAGCTCCACCCTAGCTTTAAACCCCACCATCTGCAAAGTTTGGCACTAGAGGCCTCCCAATGACCCCAATCTAATTCCTCTCAACTCTGCAGTGACGGCTGAAGGCAGGACAATAAGGGGACTCCTTGAATCAGGCACCCCCCAGGGAAATTCCATCAACCCCCTTTGAGGTTGCATCTGCGCACTGTAAGGGGCTGAGATAAGGGTGGGATGTGAACAGGAGGGAGGGGCTGGGGAGATAAGAGCCTTCAGGGTAGACGAGGTGGCCAGTGGGGCCAAGGCCTGGTGCAGGGGCCAGGCTAGGGGTGACGGATCCCAGGGTAAGGTCATATGCAGCCCCGTCCCCAGCCCTAGCTAATTGGGATCTCCTGGGTGGAAAGCAAGTGGGGATGTAATCAGGATAAAATCCAGAGCTAATGAGCTGTGGCAACAACAGGACAAAGGATTTAGTTACCATAAGCCTAGGCGCAGGGCAGAGGAGAATCTAGCCCGACTCTGCCTCCTGCCCAGCTTCTCCCATCCACGACCCTCCCTCACCGCCCCCTGCCTCCCAGCCTCTCCCTGCAGTCCAGTCCACTGGACCCCGAGTGTGAAGCGTTTCCCACTCACCTGCAGCTCTGCCCTTCTTCCCATTCCTTTAGCCCTCTTTCCCTGTCCTCTCTCCCTGCTTCACCAGCCACGTGTCCCTCACTTCACCCTGCTGTTCCCGGTATTCCTCATGCCTTTGTTCTCCTCTGAGACACTGGGAAGAGCCAGGCTCTAGACTGCCAGGGTAGGCTGGGTGGCAAAGGGTGAACCCAGGATGGCTGCCTAGGCAATGTGGAAAGTAGGACACACACCAGAAGTCCGAAAAGAAAGCGGAACCTACAAAGGAGGGTGCCGGCATTCCACCTGAGCCTGGAGACCCTGCTAACAAGCCTCATCCCCAGTCCCCAGGGACTGGTCTAGAGGGACGCTCAGGCCGTCTCTGTGGGAGCCCTCACCAGACCCCTCACAGTCAGCTCCTGACCTTGGCCCAGGGCTAATCCTCTGCCTCCTCGCTCATGGCTTCCTTCTCAGAAGCCCCAGTGGCATATTCCTTCCTCCAAAAGACCAACCCAGCAGGGGAGCCCCAAAGAAGTAACAGTACGAGGGTCAAGGGGACTCGGTTCCTCACCCAGGCACAGCTCCTCGGGCTGGCCAGGAGCCGCTGAGCTGAAGAGGCACTGCTCATCCACACCCAATGGCCAGCAGGGTTAGTGGAGAAGGGAGGAGGAGCCAAAGGGCCTATTCTCTGAGGGACAGCATGGGAACCGGGGCTGTTAGTGACCACAGGGCCTGGGATTTTGAGGAGTCAGGACCCACACTTAATTCTCCCTCAGTTAGGGAATGGGTGCCGGGTATGCAAGGTCACCTTTTCTGGTGGGGAGGAAAAGAGACTGAGTGAGCACAGTCTTGGGACCAGGCCATGGTGGTGGAGACAGCATGGCTCATGGGCTGGGACCTGGACAAACACCCCAGTGGGTACAGGTGACCTTCAGGCCCGGTGGGGTAGATGGACCACCTAGTCCCAAGAGTCAGGTTCTGAGACTAAAGCTCTGTTCTTTGCCACACTAATGGATGTTCTCAGGGAAAACTGTAGCAGCTGTGCCCCAAACCGCCCCAGCCAGAGGCCCCACTGCTGTGTGTGTATATACACGTGTGCACTGTGGACTTACCCACACTGGGTGGAATGTGTCTGCCCTGCCACCCCCACAGGCTTCAGGCCTATCGACTGCGGCTGGGAGTGTGACAGTGGCTGTAGGCCGACATGTGGACAGGTTTTTCTGTTACCAGTTGAGGACTCTTGCTGGGGATGAAGCTGATTCAGGCTACGACTGATTAAGAATGATGATTAAGCCCCTATGAGTTGTTAGCAACCCTGGGCCCCAGGGGGCTATAAGTCTCTATATGTTGACCATGACCCCTAACTCACAGGGGCACACTCTTCCCATTCTTCTCTCCCATGCATAAGCACAAAGACCAATACGTCTAAGTGACTACAACAGAATGAGTAGTGACCATCTCCTTTTCCTCCCGAGTGGCCTCACTTTGCACCACTGTCCTGAGTCTGATGAGGTCAGAGGGCAGTCCAGTACCTGCAAGCTCATCCCTCATTAGCTAGTTATGAACTCACACCAGGTTTCAACTAAGGCCCCACACTCAGTGAGACCTGGAGACCTGAGGAAGGGGTTTGGGTGCCCAGCACATGACTGGAGCCCCTCTCTCCTGTCCACATCCCACCCTCACCCCAGTTGGTCTTTCTCCACCTGACTGGCAATGGCTTCTGGCACTGATTTGATTTTCTTCCTCATAAAAGTGTAGTACAGTGGTTCTCAGTGTGGTCTTCAGACCAACAGCACCAGCATCACCTGGGAGCTTGTTAGAACTGCAAATTCTCTGGCTCCATGTCAGACGTATGGTATCAGGAACTCTGAAGGTAGGAGCAAGCTATCCTATTTTGACAAGCCTTTCAGGGGGCTCTGATATATGCTTAGGTTTGAGAACCACTGGTATAGTATATTACCTAAGCATCCCAGGTAGGAGACCTCATTTAGTTCCTGACCCATACACAGAGAACCTGTCCGTGTGCATGTGATTTGCAGCTATAGTGTCTTCCCAAGGAAGTAAGTCTACCTACTGCCCACACTTCCAGCATGTAACCAATCATTTAACCCCTGACAATGCAGAGGCCAGAGGCCAGATCTGGAATCCACTGAAAGGCTCTCCATAAGCCCTTTTCTTCCAGAAGGTGCAGCAGGAATTCAGATGGCTCTAGGCATTGCCATAGCAACTGTACCTTTCAGAAGCTGTCATGGACTAAAGGAGCAGGGAGCAGGCAATGCTGAAGGGAAGTCTGCCAGTGGGTGAAGCACAGCCAGCAGATGAGAGGCTATGAAAATAAATGGGAGCTCAGGATGGCTGGGATTTATGGCCCAAGGCTTGCTGGGGCTGTTGTTTCCTAAAGCCCCAGGATGCATTTGCTACCTACCCGGGGGTCTTCAGAGCTACAAAACAGCACCAACCCAGGTTATGGTGCTGCATGGCAGCCTGACTCACACAGGGATCAGGGTGTGATGCCGAATGTCTCTCAAAAGATCATCTACCTGGGTTAAATGAGGCCCCTAAATGGTCACACAGCAATGAAGCAGGAAGATGACCACCCATGTTCCAAGTCAGGGTTGAGGAAAGGGATCTAGCTTCAAACTTCTGATATGGGTCTGGGTCCTAAAGTAGATGCCAAGAAATCATGAGGCACTTCATGGGACTTAGATAACAGTGATTTCAAGCTCTAAAAAATCAACTGTCAACCAGAACTTATGTAACAACGGAGTGCACAAGGTACAGGATGCTGGCAGCAGAGTTCATCCCTGCGACCCTCTCTACTCCCCCCCATATCAGTACCCTCCAGGTGCTGAGCCTCTCCTGTAGGTGAAGAAGTTACTCTTTTGCAGACAGGCAGAGAGCAGAACTGCTACAGGTAACTAGGCCTGTGCAGCTGGGCAGCCCCACTCCCCCCCATATCAGTACCCTCCAGGTGCTGAGCCTCTCCTGTAGGTGAAGAAGTTACTCCTTTGCAGACAGGCAGAGAGCAGAACTGCTACAGGTAACTAGGCCTGTGCAGCTGGGCAGCCCCCGAAGGTGCAGAGTGACACACATGGGCCCAGGGGACACTGCCCAATGCCCCAAGCACCTGAGCTGGCCAGCGCATTTGGCTGCTTTGGAGCCACTGGTGCTTTTAGTCTGTTTCTTTTGCTTTTTCTGCTCTGGAAGCAGCAACCAGCTCACATGAGGATTCTGAAGGTGGGATTCTGCCCTGTCCTCAGGGACAGGGTACAAAGTGTGAGAAGTCAGGATCATGGGGGCAAGCACATAGTCACACAACAGTGTCATCTCCAAGACCTGCTGTACCCCCCACAGCTAATCTCACCCTTGGTTAGCAATGGGTGTCCCCAAACTCTCCATATGGTTCCACTCACCTTTGCCCTTCTGTGGCCCTCCAGGCAAGCTGGGATCCCTGTTTCCTGACTGTGTGGGAGCGCTTTTCAGGGGTTTTCTTTGCCTGAGCCCCTGCTGGCTCTCCAGGCGTCAGCTCACTGCCTGGTCATAGTGGGTGGCCGGGGAGTGCTCAGGCAGGGCAGGGCTTTCTCCTGTAGGTGGAAGGTAGGTGTTCCTTTCACACCTGAGCAGAATCCAGCTCCTCACCTCCATTTTCCCTCTCGCCCTCACACAGCTAGAGCGATCCAAGTTGCACCTGCTGTTCATACCTTGGGCTTAGGAGACTCGCAGGGTGGGGCGCTTCCACACCTGCCTCGCTTCTAGAAATGGGAGTAATGGAGGGAAGAGAGGCAGGTGGAGAGGGGAGGATGAAAAGGATTAACATCCACCCCGGGTTTTCCACCCTGACTGCTCCTTCAGGAGGTTTCCATGCGACTCTATCTACGTTTGACGCTGCTAACATCTGCTGTGAACAGGAGATCTGCAGGGAGGGGGGCTGCAGGGTGCTCGGTGCCTTCAAGCGTTGGGGGTGAAGAGGTGTTTTCTCTTTTCCGGTGGTATCTGGGGTCTTCTGCAGTCATTGCTTAGGTCATAGGGTCAGGAAATGTTTCCAAGGAATAAAGAACTGGGTTCACAGTGCAAGATTTGGAATTTGGTGGTTTCTCAGGAAGAACTGTGGCCAAGAGAAACGGCAAAGAGGATGCCTATAAATACTGAAAGGAAAGGAGGGAAGCCTCAGCCTCAGGCCAGCAGAGAGCAGAACCAGAGAGGCCATGAAAATGAGGCACCTGTGTTTTGATGCTTTGCATTTGACTCTTTACTGCTGGTGAGTTTCCCATAACTCCTGATGTGGGTCAACGACAAGGGGAATAGGAGGCAGAAGACCCAGCTCTGATTCCAGTTCTGGCACCAAGCTCCCACATACTGGGCCTTAGTTTCCTCCTATGCACCAAGAGGGGGTGGCCAGATGGCTCTAACATACCTTCCCTTCCACCCCAGTTCCTCTTGCCCTGGGGAGAGAGGGGCTTTGGCAGGCTCCTGCAGGGCGAGTCAGTTCCTGATTTCCCCAGTTGGCTGCAGCAGCCTAAGCTTGCTGTCGGGAAGGGCCTTGCCTGAATGTGCACAGGGAGTTTAGGGAGAAGTCTCCCCAATCCCCTGAGGCTCTCTCTGACTTCCAGGGCAGCGAGACAGCGTGTGTTTCATGGGTGCTGTGTGTCCGCAGCTTACACGTCCCTGAGTCAGGCTGCTGGGAGGTGCCAGGGTGACAGCAAGCAGAGCCCTTCAAGGGCCTGCACAGATGGGAGGCAGAGGGCCGGGAAAGGATCTGGAGGCTGTGCCAGGATGACCCTACTTGGAAGGGTCTGAAAAAGTTCCCTTTCTGGATCGTGGGGCTGTGGCCCTGGCTTTTCTACCCTGAAGATCTGTAACTGAAGAAGATGGCTAGTTTTAAAAATAAGAAGTGGGGAGGGGAGGGAAGAAACGGTTTTAAAATGAAGTCTCAGGGCTGCACCAGAGGAATGTGTACTTGAAGAAACTCTTCTCCTGAATGGCTTGACTGTCCAAGTACTCTTCTCCCCTCCTTTTAGTGAGCATATCACTTGGAAGGGTCTGAAAAAGTTCCCTTTCTGGATCGTGGGGCTGTGGCCCTGGCTTTTCTATCCTGAAGATCTGTAACTGAAGAAGATGGCTAGTTTTAAAAATAAGAAGTGGGGAGGGGAGGGAAGAAACAGTTTTAAAATGAAGTCTCAGGGCTGCACCAGAGGAATGTGTACTTGAAGAAACTCTTCTCCTGAATGGCTTGACTGTCCAAGTACTCTTGTCCCCTCCTTTTAGTGAGCATATTAACTGAAGAAGATGGCTAGTTTTAAAAATAAGAAGTGGGGAGGGGAGGGAAGAAACGGTTTTAAAATGAAGTCTCAGGGCTGCACCAGAGGAATGTGTACTTGAAGAAACTCTTCTCCTGAATGGCTTGACTGTCCAAGTACTCTTCTCCCCTCCTTTTAGTGAGCATATCCAGAAGTGCAATATGTTGGAGCTGGGACTAGACAGAGCTAAGGTCTTGAGATGGAAAAATGGGAAAGACTAATTCCTAAAGGCAATGGGCATTTGCCTGTGGGGACACCTGTACTTTTACTCATGTGTTCATTTAGGAAGTGAGACAGTGCAGCTTGGCCAGACTATGGGAAACGGCTTGGTCTGCTTTGTAGTCAGTGTGGTCCTGCATGACTCAAATATGTGTCTGTGTGTCAGGGACTATGGCAGTGCTGGGTGACAGAACTCCAGGGGCGTGCTGGCTGTGGGAAAGGGGCAGCCCAGGGAGGTGACCACTCTTAGCAGGCCCTCTGCCGCCTGCTTCCCCAGAGCCTGTTTCAGCCAGCAGTGTGGGGTCTGCCAATGCCATCCCCAAACAGTTGACACCAGGCCATGCCTGAGGACCAGGCCCATGGACAGCACAGTGCCAGACAGGCCACAGCCTGGAAACAGGACAAAGTGGGCACCCTGGCAGAGCAGGGGCCAGAGGGAAGGTACAATTGGGCTCTTTCAAGAAAATCCTAATTGTATCCCCACCTGTTAGGACTGCTCAGGCTTGGGACATGTGACTGAAGAAAGGGGAAGGGAAATGAAGATAAGAAGGAAGAGGGCACGCTGTACTCACCTGAGCTTCCTCTTTGTCCAGGCTCCTTCGCTTAACCTGTGGCAGCACGGGCAGAAATAACACACCGAGGTCACACCCAGGGTCTTCTCACCCCCAGACCTCCTCTAGGGAGCTTTCCTGACCCGCCCACCCCAGGGGCTTCTGGACTTGCCTCTGCCCTTTGTCACTTGCATGTCGACTTTCCCCAACCAGATATGATGACGGGGTAGGGTCTTACTATCTGCAACCAGCAACTAACGCAAAACAGCCATGGAGGCCGGTGCTTCTCGGGAGAAGGAAAATAACATAAAATGGAAACAAAGCCACCTTAAATCTAGAGAGCAGCTGCATCGGGAGGGGCAAAGCCCATCTGAAAGCCAGGAAGGTGAAGATGAATGACACTTTGGTTAGGGCAGTACTTCCTTTGCACAGATGCATCTGCTTTGGAATGCTCTTGCTCACCCTGGAATCTCCAACACTGCCCACACTCTCAAGAGCCTGTGTCCATTCCTTAGAGGCCACGGCTGTCCAGACATGCACCAGGGTTCCTTAAGTGCAAACTGGATCTACAGCCCTCAACACTGGGGATGACAGGCTCTGGGAAAGGAGATTCTGAAGGACACAGGAGCATAAAGGGAGGCTCTGTGGTAGCCAAGATGAATTTAGGGCTCTGGGACAATATGGGGGAAGTTATGTTCGTCTATGCTTCATCTACATAGTCTTGGTTACACTAAGGGTAAGGGGTGAGAGGAGGTAAAGTAGGAAGGTACCCCAGTGGACAAGTGTTCCACAGGATGCAGCCAGACAGAGAGCCAGGGTAGAACAGGGAGAGGCGCGAGGGAGGGGTGAATATGGTTAGGATAGCTGGCTTGGTCTGAATTCTTCAATTCTAGACCTTGTCTAGAATTCTTCCCTCAAAGTCTGGAATATGCATTCTTGGCTCCCAGAGTTTCTACACTGAGTAGAATATGTTTGCCTGGCAGGGTACTGACCAAGTTGTGTGTATGTTAAGTCAGGGTGATTGCAACCCCAAAGCAGCAGATATTCTCTCTCTGTCTATGGTTGATAGTATCGATCTCTAATGCCCAGGTGACTATAGTCAGGGCAAGGTCAGTCTGCAGCAAAATCTCATGTCAGGTCATGGCAGAGAATCAGAAGGTCCATCCATAAAAACACTTGATCTTATAATGACACCCACATAAGAGATGCATCATAGCTACAGGTATATATATATCCCAGAACCTATACGATGTTGAGAGTCAAACATTCTTTTAAAACTCTACCCATCCCTCACCCCAGCTCTTAACATTCTTGCCCTCAGGAATGACACCTAAAAACCACAGAAATAAAAATTCAGGCATTCTCACAGAAAGATTTCATATAGACATACAGAAACTCTAGAATATGCATTGAAAGGCAGAGGAAATACTAAGAACAAGAGGCACAGAAAGACGGAAGAGCTGCTGACAGGGCAACTCAGGTGCAAAGACAGAGAGACTCTGAGGCCACGAGGTACCAGGCAAGGGAAACCACCCCCAACTCACACGTGAGACATGGCCCACGTTCAGACTTGAGCCAGGACTCAGGGGGGAGTTCATGGCCAGGTCAAAGCTTGTGTGGTTGGGGCAGAGTCCTAGGTTTGCTTTGGGGGAGTGGAGGGAGCCTGAGGAGAGGCATGCGAAAAGCTACTGGGGGAGGGAGGGTTTATGGGAAGAGAGGCCAAAGAAGCAACTGTTATGTCTTCAGCCAAGAACATTCCACATGAACGCTGGGATTTGGTTGGATTGTGTGCATGTGCGTGTGCATGTGTTTGAAGCATGTGTTTATGTAAGTGTACATTTATCTCTATCTCCTCTTCACCTCTTGCCCTACAATGCTCCTGCCTTCTTTTCTATCTGCACAGGAAAGCCTGTCTTCTCTGTGTGGCATCTCTGGATGTTTGAGACACTGCTGCTCTCTACTTCTGACCTTTGGACGTCCATGCCAAACATGTCCTCATCACTTCATCGTGGCTATTGTCCACTTTTTCCCAGGGCTCACTCTGACTCACTAGATGATTTCAGCACCTGCAGCACGTTTCTCTTCTCCCAGTTCTGTCCTCAGCCATTTCCGTGCCCTTGCTGACAAGTTCCTTGCCTCCTGAGACTCCAGAGACCTCCCTCTCTTCTCCACACTAGTCCCTATGGGCAAACCACACTCTAGCCCCACCATCCCAAGGGGCTTTCCCTTCCCTTCACAGTTTCTTTACCTAGATCTCTCTCGGCTTCTTTCTATCTTTCCTTAAGACTTTCCCACTTCACTTAGTCTACTAGTCCTGCTCAGACTAAAGCATAGGGGTTGGAGTTAGAGATGCCTGGGCTGGATCCAGCCTCTGCCATTTAGTACGGGTCAAGTTATTCACCCCTCTGAGTCTTGTCTAGAATTCCTCCCGCACGGGGCTGTGGAATCAAGTGAGAACGGTGTGTTACGTGCTCAGTATTCAGTAGGCACCTGTGAGGGTTGGTGTCGGCTCCTCCTCATCTTTCCTACCTTCTCCTCCTGAGGGTGACCGACTACTCCATTTCTCTCCTCTGATAAGGGACTCTATCACATAACCTTATTTCCTTAGATTTGTTCATTTATTGACACCCTACTAAGTGCCAGGTACTGTTCTAGGCACTGGGAATACAACATGAACAAAACAGACCAAAATCTCTGCCTTTGGGAGCTTACATTTTGGAAGAATCCAGCAACAGACACATTAATATACGACAGAAGTAACAGCTAACTATCAAATATCCAAAGAGAATTTTGTTATTTGTTCCGTATAACATAGAAGGATGAAGATTAAGAGCATGCAGTTTAGAGTCAGCAAGACCCAATTCAAACCCAATCTTTGCCATTTAGTAGCTACATGAATGGAATCTGTCTGAACCTGTTTCCTCATTGGTGAAATGGGGATATTACTATATATCTCACAGTGCTGTTAACGATTGAGATAATACACAAAAATCATTTAGCATAGCTCTTCCTCGTAACAAGTATTAAATAGGTTTATATGTAATACAACCAGAAAGGCATAACTGTCCTTTGCTGACAACTTACTTTCTTTTATTTTCCCACAAAATCACAAAATCATTTGGTTATTCCAGCCCACGATCATCTCTTTCTTTTCAGAAACTCTTATTGTACTTACAATTATATGCTCAAAGTTTTATGATTAACTTTTTCTGCCATTTCATTTAATTTTTTCCTATTTATTCTGCATATCTTAGTCTTACTCTCCTAATAAGATTATAAACTCCTTGAGGCAAGGGGTCATGTTTTATGTTTTACTTGTATCTGCTTCCCATATCCCAAGCATCTATCACAGTATCAAGAAATCAGGAAGCGTTTGTTGACTGACTGACATTACCACCTGTAGGGCAAACCTGACTGTCCAATGGGAAAGGTGGGTAGAAGGAACAGTGGGGATCTGGCTCTGGGAAAGGCAGCAGCAGGAAGGGAGGCAGAAACAAAGGGGGCAGGATAATTCCCTCCATGGGCTGCACTGCTCTGGCTCCCATTCAAACAAGGGGTCCTGTCAAGCTGCCTTTACCTCTGTCTTTCCCATTCTGCATCTTCTCTTCTTCCTCCTCTGCACCTTCCTCTGCTGTGAAAACAAGTCCAAGGAGGCCAGTGACCCTTCAGCACAGTACAAGCATAGAATGAGGGTGAACACAGTAACTTCTGAGGCTTGGGGTGAAACCCTAGCTAAAGGCTCACGGCTGCAGGCCTCCAAGAGGGCCTAAATTCACCTAGCCTGCTCCTTGTGTGGTCCACACGCCAGCACTGTTTAACAGAACCTGTAAGCCCTGAGCCCGTAAGAAACAGGGCAGTCTAATGTCACCCACCCTCCTGCTGGCTCTGCCACTGGCTTCCGTGGTGATGGGGTTGGGGCTGTGGGGGTGCCTGCCCCATCTCTATGACTGTTTTCTTTAAAGTGATGACATCCACCAGGGACATGTCTTGCATTCAGGTTCAAGAAAGCAGCCATAAAAGTACATGGTGGGGGACTGCCTAGACTAATGCTCGTTTCTGTAAAAACAACCAAAAACCAAACAACAAACTTTTTTGTTTTTTTTTTTTTGTCTTTTTGTCTTTTTCCGTGTCCGGCAACGGATCGCAACCCTCAGTGTTGCCCCCGTACCGGACCGGGGACTGGCAACGGGATTGCAACCCTCGGTGTTGCTCCCACGCCTCGCTCAGCCAGTGAGCGGGAACTGGTCTGTATGTGGGATCCGAACCCTCGGGCGGGAGCGCCGCCACGCTTCCCAAGCGGCGCACTTATCCAGTGCGCCACCGGGCCGCCCCCAAACAACAAACTTAAAAGGACCACAGACCAAGCTGTGTAGAAAACAGCTAATGCAACTGAAGGTTGATTTTCCTGGGGCCTGCTCAAGGGAGGTCACGGATGCCCTGTGCTCTGCAGAGGTAAGATCTCCTGTGATGTAGGGTAGTGTGTTCAGCCTTGGGTGCTCACTTTGAATTGGGGCCTTGGAAGATTGGGCCACATCCTGGTGTGGTCAAGCAGGATGGTAAAGTGAAAGTCATGTCACATTCAGAATGCATGAAGGAATTGGGAACAGCAGCCTAAAAAATAGAAGATGCAGGAAAAGCTGTGCTATCTGCCATTAAACACTTGAATGGCTAACCTGCAGAGAAGGGACTATAGTTATTCCGGTAGCTTTAGAGTGAGAAACAAGGATAAGTCAGTTACAGAAAGGCAGATTTTGGCTCCCCAATAAGGAAGAAATTTTCAGTGTTTAGAGCTGATCATGAATGAGTTCACTGGAAACAAACAGAGGATTTTTATAGTGGGTGACAAGGTTGGTTAAATGATGTCTGAGACCCTTTCCAATTCTAGGATTCCGTTATTTGTGAAAATATCTTTTTTAAGATGAAGAGGACAAGCGAGGGATATGTATATGGTATGTGCATACTATATAGAATATATGTAAAGATAATCTGAGTATCTACTCTCATTCTAACAAAAACCTGTGAAACCACTATCAAAGAGGTAGTAAAGAGGTGTTGGTGATGGCCATTCGCTGAGAAGCTGGCATCCCCGCAAGTAAAGGGAGAGTTTTTCCTGCATTTATAGGGATACTGTGCCACACGTGGATGTAGTCCATGTCCCCCTATAGGCTTCAGTGCTTGGGAGAGGAGGGCATCAGGGAAAGGGGCCCTCGTGGGACCCTGGGTAGATGTCCCATCCTGGGTGGGGTAAGGGCATTGGCTTAATGTTCAGAAGGCCTAAGTTTCAGGTCCAGCTCTGCCTTTTCAAGTTGCACGACTTCAGGCAAATCACTTTTCTGATAATCACTCTCTGCATTTTTGAAGTGAGGGGAGTGGACAAAGTGATCTCCAAATTACATAATTTTGTTAAAACCATACTTTCCTACTATGAGAGACTGCTGAGTATCCCTATAAACTTTAAATTTTTGTGAAGGTATTTGGTCTCTGTGCTTTATCTTTAATGAAGTCCAATTACCTCTCACCCTAGTGTGATGAGCTCATGAGCCACTTATTTTGCATAAACTACAGAAAAAGGCCACAAGGCACAAGCATAGTTAATTCCCATGGCCTGAAATCCCCTAAGAAATTCCCTCTAAAAGTGGGATTTCTGGCATCTGTGGGGGGGAGTTATACTCAGGAAGGGACCTTCTACTCATCTGTGAAGTCGTCCCCGAGGCTGTCACCTCTTCTGTTTATGTGTGTGTGCAGGGGGCCAGTAATTCTGACGGGCGTTGAGAAACAGGACCAGAATGGACAGAGTGGCACCAAAGAGCTCCCTGCACAAGAGAATCAGCATCTAACCTTAACTGAACTGGAAAAACCAACCTAGGCCACACACACACTTGTCCTCTTCTAAATGAAAACAGGCACACTTGTGAGCACAGCTGTGGGCTAGACCTTGGTCTGGTCCCATGACAACCCGAAAGGTGTATGCTTTCCCCTCGAAGGTCTGAAAAAATACCCAAGGCTTGCCTTCCCTAAGACTGTTTGAATAGTTCATGGAAAAACTGCTTTATATTTTTATTTAACAATCCTGTTAAGCTACTTCAAGGTATTTAAAAGCACTACATTAAGTGAAAAGAAACAAAAGAGGGCCATCGGTATGATTGACCTACAGCACTTAGGAAGGAAACCCATTTATTTAATATATAACATGGAAATCCCACTACTGTAAAACAATTAGTAAATACCGGGCAGCTACGTAATAGTCTTGGGGATTCTTGGAGATATGATGATTTGTGAATGGCCTTTTATTTTATCTCTTTTCCCTGGGTTTTCTGTAAGGAGACAATGCCATGAGGTAGAGGGCTCTGGGAAGTCACTGGAGTAGTTCAGCGATGGAGAGACTGAGAAAGAAGTTGTAGATAAGACAGAACATGAGCAGTGAAGGCAGCAACAGATTCAGGTCATGAACCTCAAGTGCAATCAGAGCCTAGTCGTGGACAAAAGGAGGGAACAGGGTTTCAAAACCAAATCAAACAGGAGAGAGAAGAAAGGTAGCTGGGAGAAAGTCCAGAAGCTTTTGTGGCTGATTCGGTTCCACATCCGGGAAAGCATCAGAATGAGATGGTTGGTCAGGCCTAGGGAAAGAGCAGCTGTGGACGAGGCACGGATGGAAGACAGGTGAGGAAGGGACTAACTGTACTCAGAGATTGGAATTTCTTCAAATTCAGAACTGTGTTTGCTCCACAAGACGTAGTCTTCAGGTAAACCTAAATGTGTAATTGTCTCTATGAGGTCACATGTGGGACAGAGCCTCTCTGGGAGAAGAATCCAGTGTTCCTAGAAGGCAAAAATGAACTGAGTGGTGCGCTGGGGGTGAGCTTCTACCCGTGCTGGTGAGGGGGTGAGGGGGCATGGGTATGGAGGGGAGCATATGAGCTGGGTGGGAGCTCTGGCTTCACCTGAATGGAGCTCCTTCACCAGGGATGACATGGTGTTGGTGATGGAGTCAGCAGCCACCAGCAGGTCATTGCGGAGGTTTCTCCTCGTACCTGAGGAGAGTCAGAGCAGATGGCGATGCCAGGGTGTGTGGGCATGAAGAAGAGATGACGAGTAACACCTGAGCTCTGCCAGGCCCTGGGACACAGGTGCAGAACACCCAAGGGGGGATGGGCCTCAGTAGCGCCACCTGCTCCCAGGCACCTCAGGAGCATGAGGTACCAAGTCCACTCTTCTCACCCCTGCTGCCTTCTCTAGCAGAAGAGCAGAGGATCCTGTCAATTCCACGTGTCACAGCCACCAAGCAATAAAAAGAGGTGGGTGCCAGGACAAGTGCTACCCCACGGTGTCTTTCAGCCTCAGGTGGGACTTCACTCTCCAGCACCCACCTCGTCTCCAGCCCCAGCAAAACTAACCCCTTTGTCTTCCCCCTCAGCGACTTAATGCTGCTGGTCGCTAGTTCCTCGGCTGACTGTGGCAAATCCACACTTCCTGTGTCTTCAGCAAGGTCCTATTTAGAGCACTACTCTTCCTTCTTTTGCTGGCTCTGAAGACCTTCTAGGCTAAGTATATGACTTTGGGAATTATTCCATCCAATTTCCCTAGAAGATGCAAAGCCCAAAGGACAAGGCACTGCCCATAACTCAGGAAAAACAACACAGAACCCCAGGAAGCCTGTTCTTCACACACACGTGAAGCCTGCAGACCTCCCACTGAAGACCAGCCCGTGGAATGAGAAGGGGCCAAGGCTTCACTTATTCATTCTGCCTGTGAAAATCTGATCATTGAAAGCTAAGAGCCAAAAAGAAAAGAAACTGGAAAAATCTCAGCAGGACTCCTGTACATGTTTCCAACCCCCTTCAGCTCCCCGTCATACTCCGCTCCAGGCACTCACCTTGGGCAAAGGCCTCCTGCATGTCACCCCCTACCCCGCTCAGCGAGTCCTGCGGACAGTGGGTGGGCGTGGAGCCAGCAGAGGTGGAGCGGACTGGCATGGGCATCGGCCGGCCACTGCCATGAGTGGGCGACGTGTGTGGTGACCCTGTGGCCTGGGCCTGTGAGGACCAAAGAGATAAAGCATGTTATCGCAGGTGTCCAACCTCTCTGAGGTAGGAGGAAAGTCCTTTTCCTCCGTCCACCTGAGCCAGCTAGCAGGCTTCATTCAGACGGGTGGTGCCTGATCGATTGTATTTGAAAGGAAGGAGTCAGGCTGCCTCTAGGACTGGAGAGAGGAAGAAAAGGAAGAAGGAAAGGGGGCAGGAGGAAGGGAGAGAACCCAATAAGAAGAGACTAAGACTGGGAGGGAGAGAAGAGGCTAGCACAGAGAGGTAGGACTTTCAGGCAGAAAGACTGCACAGAGCAGCTGGCCTGAGGATCCAGGAGGGGTGGCTCACACAATGGAGAAATCACGCATGGCCATCATTCATTTGCAGACACATTCATGTACCATATTTGATTCCCCTGCAACCCAGGGGTAGAAAGGGCATATATTTTCATGGCCGTTATAGAGAAGAAAAACAGGGATGAAAAGACCAAGAGTGTTGTGTCAGGCTACACAGCTCGCCAGTGGGAGGCGCTGGAAGAACCCTGGACTACAAGGGCAGTGGCTGAGCTCTGCACCCCCACACCATACAGTGCAGCTCCTGGGCTGCGTGACAGCAGCTCCGCCACAGGCTGCATCCCAGGAGCGGGCCACGGGGAGGTCTCTCGTGGGCCACCCCACAGGGACTAGTGAGAACGGACATGTGTTAAGTAGAAACGGAACTTCCCTTGCACAAGCCCTGGAACAGTTTTAGAGAAAGCTTGGAGCACTGGATAAAACAAACAAAGAGAACAGCTAGTCAAAGGCAGTGCTCTGCTGCCCTTCAGAGCGAGGGGAGCTGAGTGTGGCAGACAGACTAGGGTTTTCTGTGTAAGCAAAACTGGGAAAACATGAGCCAAAGTGTGAGAATGAGTTCAAATGAGGATAATTATCCTTCTGGGGATCTAGCTCAGAAACCCCACACACAAACAGAATCTGCCCAAACAGGCAGACAGGCCGTAGGCACAGTGCCTCACCTCAGTGCTTCAGGCGTGTGGGCGCTGAACGTAAACAGCACTGGCTTGTTCTCTACGGTTCTCATTTTGAGGTTTTTTTTTTTTTTTTGTGTGTGTGTATTTTAATTTGAGAAAATTTTTAAAATACAGAAAATAAAAATTATAACATAATAAATGACCCGATACTGATATTTGTTAATATTGTGTCAAATTTGTTTCAACCTAAAAATATTGCAGGTAAATCTGAAGACCCCCTTTGACACCAATTCTTTCCAGTCCCACTTCCTTCTTCTTATCCCTTCAGAAGCAACCATTATCAAAGATTTTGGTGTGAAATTTTTTCTTATATGTCCATATGTAACTATGAATAATATATGATATTTCTTGCTTTTAAATTTTGCATGAATGGTATTGTACTCCACATATCATTTTGCAATTTGCTTTTATCACTTAACATAATTATCTTTCCATGATTCAAACAATATGAACTTAGACCCTTACCTAACATCATATACACAAAACTAACTCAAAGTGAATCATAGTAACTATAAGAGCTAAAACTATAAAACTTCTTAAAGAAAACATAAGAAAAATATTGTGACCTTGGGTTAGGCAAAGATTTCTTAGATATGATACCAAAACCACGATATGTAAAAGAAAAAATTGATAAACTGGCTTTTATCAAAATTTAAAACTTTAGCTCTTCAAAAAACATCGTTAAACACCATATGGACAAATCAACTCAACATGGATCAACAACATAAACATAAGAGCCAAAACTATACATAAGGGGAAAGCTTTATGACCTTGAACTAGGGAGTAATTTTTAGATATAACACTGAAAGCATAAGCTACAAAAGAAAAACTAGATAAATTGAAAATCATCAAAATTAAAAACTTTTGTGCTTCAAAGAACACCATCAAGAAAGTGAAAAGACAACCCACAGAGGGGGATGAAATTTTTGCAAATTATATATCTAATAAGGGACCACCTATATGTAGAATATATAATAATGTTTACAACTCAATAATTAAAGGACAAATAACCTAGTTTAAAAATGGGCAAAGGATCTGAAATAGACATTTCTCCAAAGAAGATACGTAAATGTTCAATAAGCACATGAAAAGATGCTCAACATTATTAGAAATTAGGGAAATGCATATTAAAACCACAAACAGACACCACTTTGTACCCATTAGGATGACTATAATAAAAAAGACAGGTAATAACAAGTATTGGCAAGGATGTGGAGAAACTGGAACTCTCATACACTGCTGGCAGAAATGTAAAACAGTGCAGCTGCTATGAAAAACAGTCTGGCAGTTCCTCAAAAGGTAAAGCAGTGAGTACCATATGACCTGGCAATTCCACTCCTAGGTATATGCCCAAGAGAAATGGAAACATATCCAGACAAAAATCTGTACCCAAATGTTCACAGCAGCATTACTTAACATAGCCAACAAAGTAGAAACAACTCACATGTCCATCAACTGATGAATGATTTAAATAAAATGTGGTATATTCACACAATAGAATATTATTTGGCAATAAAAAGAAATAAAGTACCAGGCCAGCCCATGGCTCACTCAGGAGAGTGCAGTGCTGATAACACTAAGGCTATGGGTTCGGATCCTATATAGGGATGGCTGGTTTGCTCACTGGCTGAGCGTGGTGCTGACAACACCAAGCCAAGGGTTAAGATCCCCTTACCGGTCATCTTTAAAAAAAAAAAAAGAAAGAAAGAAAGAAAGTACAGACACATACTTCAACATGGATGAATCTTGAAATCATTTTGCTAAGTGAAAGCAGCCAGTCATTTACACAAATGACCACATATTGTATGATTCCATTGATGTGAAATGTCCAGAATAGGCGAATCCATAGAGACAGAAAGTAGCTTAGTGGTTGTTTGGGGCTGGGGAAGGGGGCATTGGGAAGGATGAGAGGTGACTGCTAATGGGTATGGGGTTTCTTTATGGGGTGATGAAGTGTTCTAAAATTGATTGTGATGTGGATGCACAACTCTGTGAATATATTAAAACTATTGAATTTTAGGCTTTAAAATAGTAAATTGTATGGTATGTGAGTTATATCCCAATAAAACTATTATAAAAAAAGACACCGTTAAGACAAATGAAGAGGTGAGCCACAGACTGGGAAAAAACATTGGCAAATTTTATCTGATAAAGAACTTACGTCCAGCAAATATAAAGTACTCTTACAACTCAATAATAAGACAAACAACCTGATTACAAAGTGGGCTAAGATTTGAATAGACATTTCACCAAAGAAGATGGACAAATAGGCTAATAATCACATGAAAAATTCTCAGCATGAGTAGTCATTAGGGAAATGGAAATTGAAAACACAATGTAATACCACTCATCACCCACAGAAATAGCTACAATCAAAAAGACTGACAAGGATGTGGGGAAACAAACTCTTGTACATTGTTGACGAGACTGTAAAAGTTACAACCATTTTGGAAAATAGTTTGGCAGTTTCTTAAAATATTAAACTTACCATGTGACACAGCAAATTCCACTCCTGAGTATACAGCCAAGAGAAATGAAAATATATGTCCACCCAAAACTTGTACACACATGTTCATTAGCAACAGTTTAACAGCCAAAAAGTGGAAACAACCCAAAAGTCCAATGACTGGTGAATGAATTAACCAAATGTAGTATGTCCATACTATGGCATACTAAGGAATCTCTTTTTGTTACATAAAGTATTTTTACTATTGTGTAACTTTGATAATAATTTTCCATTGACAATTAAATATATTCTATCCTGTGAAACATTCTCTTGTTTTTGTTAGTGGTTATAAAACATTTTATTATCTTTACTTTTTCAGAGTATAGATCTTTTCTTCCCAGTTATTTATAAACATATCATGAATCCTGTTTTGGCCAGATATTATCATCATGTATTAATTATTATATTTTGGGGACCCCCTCTGCCTTTTATCCTATAATCACCACCACTTCCCAGCCATTTTAGTGGAAGAGAGGGCAAATGGTAATGGATAAAATTCATGACTTTTAAGATTTAAAGATGCTGCCTTCCAGGTGTAAGATAGAGAGCTAGAAATTGCTCACAAGCAGCCAGACCTAGCAGTTTCAGCCCCAATCCAAACTGGACAAGGAAGCTGGGAAGAGAGGTGCGAGAATCTGCAGAGAAAGCAAGAGAGTCCAACACAGTGCCCTGGCCTTGCAGGAAAATCCAGTGAGGTGGCACAGTTTGGGATGCGGGAGATCACAGAATTGGTGGATATTGGCAGAGCCCAGGGCCTTTCCTGGGCCTCTGAGACGGTTGCCTGGGCAGACTCAAGGAAAGACCCCAAGTACCCCAGCAGCCTATGGTGTTCTCATATGCTGAGAGTGGTACAGAGGTGACTGAGAGGCCATGAGCCTCATGGTCTCTCAGGCTCAGAGTGGTTAGAGCCTCGATGGGATCATGCATGGACTTTGGGAGCTGGGGGAGCATGTGGATTCACATGCCACAGCCACGGAGCAGAGTACTGCCTTCAAGAACGAGGCCTGCCCACAACCATCCATGGTCCAGGTGTGAGCACGGATCAAGTTGGAGATGCAGACATTCCTCCACTGAGGCCACAGTACCACAGCATAAGCTCCTGAGGCGCAGCATCAATCTCAGGATGCAGGAAGAGGGATAATAATCTCCGAGCGACTGGCTTCAGAGTTTGCCTGGAAATGCCTAGATTAAGTGTCCAGCTCAGACAGAGTGAGGACTCAAGATGAAAATTAAACACAGTTAAAGAAAAAAAAAAAGGCGGGTAAAATTCAAATTAACTTCACTGTATGACAGTTATCTTTCGTCCCCTCAGAAGGCCAACCCAGCGTTTAACGCATGGGGAGTTCCTCATAAATCTCCCTACCCATGACCTGGGCCAGGCACTGCTGCCTGGGGACTGAATGTCAGGGTCATAAGACCTGAGATGAACATATATAATGCCTTCTAAGAACATGACACTGAACTTTTGCAAACATT